GAGCCCCGATAAATGCAATTTCTAATATTTCTAAAGTGCTTCTTTATAATAAACATTGCTTTCTCAACACTTTACCCGCTCTATAACACAGTGAAAGAGCTCTTGTATATAGTGAACAATCGATTCTCGAGCCATCGATATCAACCTATTCAGCACCACCGCCATCTTTTTTAAAGATCATTATTTGGTGTAACAGAAAGTGTTGACATGCTTTAATGTTCAAAAAACATTATTTTTAAAATACTGTACATTATTGTAGGTCCTCTATGCCCCGCCTCTCTCAAACGCTTCCTTTTCTACAAAGTCCCTCCTTCCGACAAGCGCAGTCTGCTTTGATTGGCCAGCTGACCCAGTGCATTGTGATTGGCCGAACACCGCAAGCACTCGTCGGAAATGTAACGCCCCTTACCATAATCGCGAGCTTCATCTTTCAAAATAAAGAGAAAGGAAAACTTGAAATCGCATCATATGACCTCTTTAAATCTTGGCTTACATAAATTTCTACATATACCATGTCATGCCATAGTGTAGCATTTGGACCAATCAGACACACAACTTTTTGTTATATTTAACCAATAATATCTAACGCCCCCTCACCGTTTCATAAATTTCATTCCTTATGTCTCTTTCTGTTGTGAGTTAAACTTTAACCCTTTCCTATACCAACTGTATGTGTGTGTGTGTGTGTGTGTGTGTGTATGTTAGACCAGTTTATGTGTTTATGTAGTATGTTAGACTAGTTTAAGTGTTTATGTAGTTAATAAAACCTTACTTGTATCACACTTGACGTGTTCAGTGTTTACTCATAACCGGAGTCAATAATCATGCAGATTTACGTTACAAGTTTATAGAATTGTACAGTAAGAAAGTTATTTCCCTTAACCAGGAAATTAACGTTCTTAGAATTGACAAGACAGTTGACCCTGAGTGGTCAGCTAAATATCTACAGTGGATCTAAAATATGAATAATTAATTATAACTAGTTATGGTTAATTATTCATATTTCCCCATGAGCTAATCCGCTACAATTAATAGTAGTAAGATGTACATTCTACTTTACAATAGATATTTCTGTCACAATTTCCTCAAGTTAAACCAAACTTTTATTTTGACGTGTTGCTATGAAAAGTTTTGTTAGTGTGTGTGTGTGTGTGTGTGTGTGTGTGTGTGTGTATGTTAGACCAGTTTGTGTGTTTATGTAGGATGTTAGACCAGTTTATGTAGTGTGTTGGACTAGTTTAAGTGTTTATGTAGTTAATAAAACCTTACTTGTATCACACTTGACGTGTTCATTGTTTGCTCATAACCGGAGTCACTAATCATGCAGATTTACGCTACAAGCTTTTGTAGAATTGTACAGTAAGAAAGTTATTTCCCTTAACCAGGAAATTAACGTTCTTAGAATTGACAAGACAGTTGACCCTGAGAGGTCAGCTAAATATCTACAGCGGATCTAAA